AATCGTTAGCGGTGTGAAGTTCAGTAAGCGAGTATACTAGCGCTGCATTCAAGAGCTACTATTGACTGACAATACTCTAAAGTCGAAGGAAATTTATATGAAAGATGATTTCTTCAATCACATTCCTTGACAGACTCATTATTACTGCTTAAATATTCTTCTGAATGTATTAAAAACTTATATAAGAGTAAAAAAATAATAATTAAGAACTCCAATATGTATTGTGATACGGAACATCTTAATTTATACAATGGAAACAAAAATAACGACACAAAAATATTTCACAGAACTACACATGAGAGGTATTAAGTATTAAAAATAAAAATTAACATACAAATGAACAAATATAAAAACAGGTAAATACAAAAATAAATAATCAATATAATATTACTTTCGATTCATTTATTTATAACATGTTGAAAAGCCTTACCATATTGAGGCATACAAAAGAAACATTTATTGTACAAATTCAACTAAATGTATACTAGATATATAATTTCCAACAAGCAACGAATGTCGGTAGACCCTACGTTACAATTTCAATACTAATTTAGAGAGTGCGACGACCCGACCGATATACAAATATTATGGTCTTTAGGCTATTGACTTAAGGTTTAAATTGGCGAAAGTAAATTAATTTTATTAAATTAAATGTAAATTAAATAAAATATGACATGACTAACACATATTTTTAAGGCTGGCTATTTAATGACATGTTTCTTTTAGGAAGTTTGAGTTATTACCAACTAGTTTTTGTCCGCGACTTAATCTGCGTTTCAGAATTTGAAATGTATAGCTGATTGAGCAAACTCTATTCCTCACTTAAGACAGTAAATAAGAAGATATTAGTTTTGATCACTCACATCTCGTGTTAATGATCACGGTTGCTGTAAAGTAACAGAAACGTCGGGAGTATGTAGTTTTTGACAAAGATTAAAATCGTGTAGTACATCCGAAAAATATTAGTTTCAGTTATTTTTTCTTTTTAAATCGAATGAAAAGTATCATATGTCCTTTCCATTGTTCTAAGTTCTAATCTCTCCACCAATTTTTATTCAAATCCGTACAGCTGTTCTTGAGTTATAAATAGCATAACTAACACGACTTTCTTTATATAAAGATAAATATTTTAAATAATTTTTATTCTCGTTTCAATGTTTTCTTAATGTAAAGTGTATTTCCTCAGTGTTTGTAAACAGTAGAGGTATATCAATGAACTATGAACAACTCCGTGTTAAAGTTGCTCCAAGGTTCTAGCTTTACAGAACTTGTTATAGTAATATTGATGGCATCCTAGTTAATAACATCTAAGAATAGTTTGTTCAAACACAAACAAAATATATACTATATATAAATTACATATATGTATTTTATACTATATATATTTTCTATGATTATTTTCATAATAATTTACCATACTTGATATAAGTCGTATCGAGATTTTATTACGTGTTTTTTACATTTAAACAAGCTTCCAGCCCGCAGCTTTGTCCGCGTGGAGTTCGGGTATATCGCGTTTCCAAGAGAACCTTTCATAAGTCTGAGATAAAAATTTATCTGTTATTTTTTAAGGTTAACTCCATTTTTGTACCAAATTTCATTAAAATCAGTTCAGAGGTTTAGGCGTGAAAGCGTAACAGACAGACAGACAGACAGAGTTACTTTCGCATTTATAATATTAGTAGGGATCTAATAATTTTTCTATAGTTAATTCTTAGAATCAATATTAGAAATATGTACAAGGTAGATCCACGTATATGTAACGTATCGTCTGCATGTTTGATTACAAGAAGTATAAGAAATATCACAAACAATTTCTATAAGGAGACATCGATTAGTAGAAGATTGATCGGAATCAATTGATATTTTATCGAATATAGAGTTACAATGTGTGGGGAGATGAAAATGTTAAAGATATGTATGTAATGAGATCTAATACTTGCGCGAGTTTTCATTTAAATGAAACTAATATTTTTGGAACTATGTACATACTCCCGACGTTTCAGTTATTTTTCTTTGCAGCAACCGTGATCACGGACAGACGAGATGTGTATGTTCCACTATGGAAGCTCTATTGACACCTCGGAACGTTGTTTATTTTCCGGGATAAATATATCGACGTATTTTATATATGCTTATAAATTTATATTAATTATTAATTAGATAACGACGTCGTAGTCCATAATGCTGGTGATATAATGAAATACCCGGCTTTGGTTTTCATTCTATAAAAATATCTGACATTTGACATATTGACCAATAAATTTAAATGACTGCTACTCATCTATATGTAAGTTATTTCAGCGGTACACGACATTGGCGAAATCTATAAGGAAACGCCACTAACTAAAGAAGAAGATATTATTTCAGTAGATAAATTTCCATCTCTTAAATGAATAATATTAAAAGTATAAATAAACATTGGTTATTTTTAAACTATTATAATAATACGTAAAGAAGAACTCGTGAAGTCACACGCCATCAAAGTGTCATATTATATATACAAATTTAAAAAAGTCTTAACAATGTGGTTGAAACAAATATAACCTTTAACATACGAGAAAGTTCAATATAAGTTGTTGACTTTTTATAGCTCTTCAGTTAAATATATGTATTTTTACCGTACAATCTTGAGTTAGAAATTATTTTACTATAATTGTTTTCATGAAAAAGCTGGTCGAATGTCCTATTTTAAATACAGACACTACGTGAAGTTGCTCATAATGCATGTGCAGGCCGTAATTAACACAGAGGCTTTTAAAGAGGAAAACCTTCTTGGTTTTGTCTCCAGTAATGCCAATATTAAAGGTTCTGTTCCAATACACTTACAATATAGAAAATACTGAATTAAAGTTATTGTAGTGTAGCCAACATGACAAATATAAAAATATACTTTTGGTATAACTACGACAACATATTTTATTTTAAGAAAAAATTAAAAATTAAATACGAGTAGTATCATTTTAAATGTGTACATGCGAAAATCTTAGATATCAATATTCGAAAAATATGCAAGGAGGATTTTTAATACTTAAACAACAAATTCCTTTCCAAATAAATATGTAAAGATTCTGCGAGTAAACAACATTATTTACTTTAATGATTCAGCTAAGTTTACGTGACCTTACAATAAGTTCTTTCTAAACTCCAATTCTCACTGCATCAGCGGTACAGTATTATTATGTAAATCGTTTATTAAACTTATTTCAATGTATCAGGTAATGTGATGTTGCCTCAGGGTTATGAAGACGCGGCCTGGCGTCACACAGCGTGATCTGCCATAAAGTTTATTGCATCCTTGATTTTGGGTCATTCTTACGTGTTATTACCATAGTATTATAACCCCTATTACATTTACTAAAGGGTGATTTTCGGTTACGTGTGTGTGGCAATAAAGGCATGCCCTTGATCGAGCCTGGTTAATATATTAGCTCATTGATTAGTCGGGATGTTCTGGTTCCGTGGAGATCTCAAGGTATTCCTCTTGTTAGAATTTAATGCGAGCACAAAAAGTTCTTATGTTGAGATTAAAGTATTGTAATCGTTTAATATAATCTTATGATTTTTTATATTAGAAGAGCCTCGTTAATTTAGTTTTTGGGCATAAATAATAAGAATGCTTTTTATCTCAATGCTGATTACAAATAATTTCAATTAAGTCATATATTCTGGAAAGTGAAAAATAGTAAGGTTAAGGGAATGTTTTTAATTTCATTATATATATAATATGAAATTTAATCTTTGGTAAGTATTATTTCATTGAGTGGATTACAAAGATTGCGTGAAAATATTATATCTAAGAATTTAGGAGATCCATAAAATATATGTATTTTTAATAATAGCCTCCTTTAAAAATAGTTTTTGTCACTTTTAAGAGCTTGATTCGTAATTTTTTTAATAATAAATTAAATAAAAAAGTTAGCCAACTTATAACTTTTAAAATTATAATTTTGTCAAATGCTTCTTTTTGTTAAATGGTTGTCATATTTTATGAAGATTCTCGATGAGAAGGTGTCTCTTTCTGTTCTGTCACCCACAACATTGACCAGTATCAATTCTATTTACAGACAATTATTTTTTAACTTACACGATACTTTATACATCAAAATATATCTCAATTTTTGTATAAATTTTTATAATTGTATATTAGTTTTCAGTAATGCCAATCAATAATATTGTTTAAGCAATAAGACAACTAATCGGACTTATTAAGTATCATGTTGAAGTATCTTGTTAAAATTTATTTTAATACAATTTTTTATATAAAATTTATTTCCAAATTCATTTATTTTTGTGTTAAAATAAAAATACTCTCTGTATTTTCATGTTAACTATTTTTGTTTTTAATAACAATATTAGATAATGATTTTGTAATTTTTTTATTATTAGAATTTTTTATGATTAGTTCTTGTAATCTTTTAATATGGTTAATACATGTAAATATTATATTTTTTTAACAAACGAGACATTTCTTCAGTTATATATTAATATATTATATTTTCTTCGTGACTCATTAATTTACTTTACTCTGTATAATATTAGTTATTTGAGAATCTTCAATATAATCTCTGTTAACTTTTATTGGTTTATTTTTTACTTTAAAATACACCTAACAGTTAGATATATTCAAATTTTCAATGAGGATGCCATCAGTTGTGGCTGTGATTAAAATGCATGAAATGCTAACCTTCTCCCGGATGCGATCGCTCGGCCTTCCGACTTACTCCAAATATATGATATTCACCGAAACAAACAAAAATGAACCTTATGCCTACTAAATAAGGGCCATGACAGACGAAAATTGTTACATTTATTGGGCACCAAAAATGCACATGCGTGGGATCTACGGGCCTACGCCGTAGAGGGTCTACGTTCAGACGGCGCTCGACCGCCGCGCGAGCCTGACGTAGACCCGCTACGGTCCCCACACAACATACATCGGAACTTTTACTACTTTTCTAACAAACATATTTCGCGCGTGGACTATGACTTGAGAGAATATGGCGCCTTTACGAGTGTTGAGTGACTTCACGGATGAGTTTCAGAACTTTTCCACACAACATCCAGGGAAACATCATTTCAGACATCGGAACCATTCGCGGGATCATGCGAGGAACCACTTCGTGGACGTGATGTCCAACTCCATAATGGAAGTTATCAACACCAAACTGGTTCCCGAGAACAGTGTGCTGCCTGACCTGGAACCACTGTCCACTCACATGGACGAGAGACACTCTCTGCTGCTTAATATAACCATGAACAGGTCAGACCTGGGTTTGGAGAGCGAGTTCATGTATCGTCACAGCGGCGCCATGACCGCGGTGTACTGCATCGCCTATCTGTTAGTCTTCGTGGTCGGTCTGGTCGGGAACTGCTTCGTGATCGCGGTGGTCTATCGTTCCCCCCGCATGAGGACCGTCACTAACTTCTTCATCGTCAACTTGGCTGTCGCTGACATCCTCGTCATAGTCTTCTGTCTCCCAGCCACTCTGATGTCCAACATTTTTGTCCGTGAGTATCTAATTAAGACCCATAATTCTAATCATTTTTCTTTCTAAGCCCAGCCTCTAGTTTATTTAGTACATATTTTATTCATGAGGGTCTGGTCTGATATGATCGAGCAGTTAACATGTTAATGCAATTACTGATACTTTTGACATTTAAATTGTTAATTTAATTAGTTGAGTCGATGGATTGTGAATAATTTGCAATTAGTTAAATTACATATAAATACATATATTTCTACAACTATTTATCAAATATTATATGCAAAAAATTATATTTTGCTCACTCTATTTATTATTTATATTTATAAAATGTTATGAGTAGATAATTTTTGAGTGAAAGTTTCAGAGTTATTTTATCAGATTACAAAGTCTGTTAAAAGTATTTCTCCCTCTGTTTTTAAAACCTTATCTATTTTAAGCTGAAGGACCTGTGACTTTCTTTTTGTCGACGCTTTTAAAAATATTATTTCAATGTGTTTTTTCTGTGCTATGAATTTAACAACGCTTCATTGTATCTTGTTTTTATGGATAAGAATATATTTTTATCTCAATTAAGCTATAAATATTTCTTTGGAACATACGTATATAACTTTATTACTAAGAATACAGATATATCTGTCATAAAAAGCCTTATTAAAAGACGTGTTGACTTCGTGATTTAATATTGTCTGAGTATTATTTTAACAAATTCATAGTGTAATGTTATCATGTCTGTGTATCGCTAATAGAATGTTGATCGTTCCTTATCTCTCACTAACTCCCATATTGTATTTACGATGTCTCGAACCCTTCAATATCTTCACATATAAGTCGAACATTGAATAAATTGTCTGGATAAAGTCACGTTTATTGTTTAGAGAACATTTTAAGTAAACAATTATCACGATTTGTAATGAATATTGTATGAATTAATAAATTAATACTTATAAACCAACGAAATGAGAACCTCAACGTCTTATTTTCTTGTGGTTTAAAATTAAAGTCATTTAAAAAAAACACATTTATTTTACATTGGGTTGCATTAAACAGGCCAAGGTGAGCTTCGTGTACCTCTGTAGTACAAACTTGTGTTTCTTTTGACTTAGTTTTAGTTATTCAAAAGAATTAATTTATAAACATTATGATATGTTTATCTTACTAGTATTTTAAATGGTACAGTCTTTACGAATGATCTGATATGTTGATTTGGAAGTAGTTTGTTATTTAATCGCGTAATAATTATCATGTGACGTGTGAGCTAGGATTGGACTTGAGCTGCATTTTATCCTGAAAAATAATGATTGATGGCTGGACGAAATTACTCATGAACAGTCGAAAAAGCTATTAAGGTTACAGAAGCTAACAGAACTTGTTCTATTTCGTCTTGTATACAAAATTTTCGTATCGCGATATTAGACAGAGTACTCCTCCGAAACGGCTGGACCGATTTTAATGAAATTTTGTGAGCATATTGAGTAGGTCTGAGAATCGGCCAATATCTATTTTTCATACCCTTAAGTCAAAAGAGTTGTTCACCCTTATTTTTTTTTCCGACGAATTTTATATAATTCTTAATATATTTAACACATGGTGTTAGTTTTATAACTAATTAAAATAACTGTTTTATATTATAATAAACTTTGAGGACTTGTCCGGACATGAGTTCATGAAACAATTTGTGAATGTTCTCAAGGCCGGTAAGTTCCTGAATCAGAATGACATCTGCCAAATAGCTGCTAGAGAACTTGTTTCACATTGAATGGAAACTTATGTCTGTATACTTATAGTACTAGTTATAATATATTATGAAACGTACGATGTGAAGCAACCTTCACCAATTAATGTTTTATTGTTCGTTAGTATATAATATAAATAAAGATTTGTGTCACAAAAACAGCAATATTGTATGAAATATGCATTTACAGCTGCTTACGTGAATTTTAGTTTCACAAAGAGAGTTTAATATTGAAGGCTGGTTATTTGAGGCTCGTTTTAAATTTAAAAATTAGTTTAAAATTAGTGAATTAATTATTATTTTTATATAAATCAGGGATTTGTAATAATTTTTCATGTAGTAAGTTTAGAAAATTGGAATAAAAATAGGAAAAATTTTAATATTTAAATTTAAGTTTTTAGGTGTTTTATTTTTATTTTTAATATCACAGCTATTGAACGATACAAAGTAATCGATCTTTTAAACATAAATCTATTTTCAATATACTGAACACTTCTAAATTGTTAAGTAAGAACTATCTGATAATTTCTCAAGTATGCGATATATAAACTGAGACTTGAGCTAAATAATCGTTGGAATAATTAATTTACCTGAACGTCTCAGTTCCCGGAACACTTCAAATAGTTTAACTGCTCCGTTAGAGAGTTTCTGATTGTTGACAAATGGCTTTCGATAGTTGAGCAGAGTTCGCCGAGTCGAGGCGATACAGCCTTGACTTGAGACCGGGAAAAACTTACGTCATTATAATGTACAGGAATAACTGACATATAATATGTAGGGGAAATCAGTTATGAAAAACTTTGTCTAACTTTTCATAGGTAAGATGTGAGTTACATTACCAGAACGTTTCAGCGTTCGTTCCATAAAAAATATACACGACCGCGGTCAATACGAAAACGTGACGCTCTACTGAAATAGACTGAACTCTATTAGAGTCCACACAAAAAGCAGGTAGAGTTCATTCTAGAAGAAAAAGATAGTCAGTTACGTGACAATAATAAAGTTTAAGTAACACTCATAAATGCATTTTGTTACAGACTGCTATAAATAAACTCCTGAACTGCACCAACTAACTCACTCTAAAGAATTTAAGTGATATTTTATTCAGTCATTGTGTAACTTTGATTTCAAGAATATAAATCGGATACTAAGTTTTTGGCTGACAACTTTTTAGGACTTTAAGATACTTTTTGTTTAGTAAAAAGTTTTTGTGCAGGCCTTGAAATAGTGGACAAGTCTAAAGGGGTATAGGAATAAGAAGCTATGACATTTCACTTGGTATATAGTATTTCACGTGTCTGTTACTGTTATATGCTGAAGAGATCAAACTTAAAGACTTCTTGAACTTTTCAGTTGTGCTGAACTCATTAATCATAAATAGTTTTTAATCATCATTGGTAAGAATATTCCGCAATTGGGAATTTATTTTAGATACTTTGAATAATTATTTTATTGCGTGTCTTTATATACATAATTGTGTGGTCAGCAATGTATTCTTAATGACTTTATTACTTTTGCTTTCTATTGTACAATATATTGTTTAAGATTAGCTGTTATTTTATGACACTCATATATGTTCTAACTTTGCTAGTCAAAAATTCACTTATACATAATTCAATGTACAAGTAGTTTTTGAAAGAAAAAGGAATGGACTTATATTTTTAAATCCGTTTCATTTTTATCTCATTTTGTATAAAATTGTCCACATAGAGCAAAATCTACTGCACATTTTCTTATCGGTAAATAGTTTTATCTTTCTTGAGTATAGTTTGAACATAACAATATATATTAGATAAGATCATATAAATAGAAAATCAATAGAAATTAGTACATTAAAAGCTATTGTTAGAATTTGCGAAAGGTTTATATTATCATACAATTAACATTCCATTATCAATTAAAACAAAAGTTATCATACGATAGAATCGAGAGAATTGACGGAATTAAAACAGGTAAGGTAAGGGCTTACAACGAACATTGAACCGATGGTAATGTGCTTTAATTATTAAAATGGTTTTTTAAATATATTAATTATATAAATATATTTAGAAGAAAATATAAACGATCCTTTATTGATGAAATTATCATTAGACAATTGTACAATTGTGCTATGAAATTTAATAAAAATAGTAAAAATATTAAATATTTCACAAAAACTTTTGAACTGTTTTCAATAAGTCTAGTGTGAGTTATTTTATGTATCTATAAGTGAGTTTAAAACAAGATCAGTCAGACATCAAACAACTTTTGGTACTTAACTGAAAGGTTTATAAACTAAAAATAGATCAAATCATTGAAAAGATTTTATTATTTTTATATACGAATATATTGAGACTTTAACTTTTCTTTCATCCTTCAAGTTTCATCATTCAATGAAGTGTTTCTATATTCTGGTGGCAGCCGTCGGTGTGTCATTTAAATCAGTAAACGACTTCACAACACGTCTCGGCGTGCTTAAAATCTGGTTTACGACTCTCGACTTGTCCGAAGAACATTATATTTTGACTAAAATATTGTTCTTAAGCAAGGTTAGCTGAATAAAGAACATTAATAATTCTATTGAATTTCAACACTTCGAGTTTAGATGGAGATGATTTCTTTCATATTAATTTATTAGGTTAGACAGATATGAAGAAATTGTGGAGTCGATCGTTTGGAAGGCGAGACTTGTTAATATTCATAAATTAGTTAAGGCGTTTTGTCGATACGAAAAATAATGAATACAAAGTTATAACTATGAGATGATGGAAGTTTATAATTATAAATCTAGTTTTTAACAAAAATATAACTATGACTTTGTTCTGAAGGAGATCTTGGTTTACTCGTATTTAGTCACAAGCTGGAATATATATTGTGTAAATGCACTTGAAATTTCATTCTGTCTAAGTAATTCTTCTTGTTCTACCTGGCAATTTCCCAGCTATAGCCAGGGTCTGCCTTACATGTTGTGTATAGTTTTGGCTATTTGTTTTACGACCGGCCGCCTGCCTGACATCAACCCTCTTTTGGGAATCAACATTAATCAGTGATGTCTAAATAGTCTTAGAAAGTACATATGAATCGGTAAAACATTGGTACTTGCCCGGGCCAGGATCGGACCCGCGTCGTCGGTAACGAAAGGCGAGTCCTTTAACCACTATTCCACCACTGTCTAAGTACTTATGACTTATAAAATAAATTAGGCAAGATAGTACCTATATTCAACAAACAGAAAGTAAGTTTTTGTTTGTTTTTTATGTTCTTTTATTTGTGTCATCTCCTCGATATATTAGTTATAATATGTCTCCCTC